TTTGGGAGGCCGAGGTGAGTGGATTGCCTGACCCCGCGGGTTCGAGACCCGCCCAGGTAACTTGGCAAGACCTCATCTCTACAATAAATAAATAAAAAAATTAGCCAGACGTGGTAGCGCGCGCCTGTAGTTCCAGCTCTTGGAAGGCTGAGGCGGAAGGATCGCCGGAGCCCAGCAGGTTGAGGCTGTGGTGGACGGGAGCCGCCACTGCACTCCAGTCTGGGCGACGGAGTGAGACTCCAACTCAAAAAAAAAAAAAAAGATGGCTCTGGGGAGCCCTGCCTAGGAAAGGCTCAACAGGGCAAGGGAGACCAGTGGCGGCCAACAGCACAGCCCAAGGTTCTCCTGTCAGCCCCTCGGATGCCCACACAAGGGCCATTCCCAACACGGCCCTCCAGGGTCACGCAGACCCCAGTCCGTGTCAGCTGGCCGGCCTGGAAGAGGGAGAAACAAAGGAGACCCACCTGGGACCCAGCTTGAACTTGTCGTTTGGGCGAGGGCAGGACCTGCATTTTACAGATGAGGAAACAGAGGACCCAGGACCCCCCGGGCCCCCAGCGCCGCAAGGGACTGAGCCAGCACTGGGGGGTCCGGCCGTCCCCGTCTGGGCCTGGCCTGTGCTCACGTGCGGCCAGACTTGTTTGTTTCCCACACATCCGGAATGTCCTGGAGCCCAGCTGGTCTCCACGAGAAAGAGTGATTTAAAGCAGACCGGGGCTTGTGAGCAGCTGTGGGCTCTCGTGGAGGGCAGAAGGCGTTGAGAGCCTCCGGTGGGCGCCACAGCTTTGCTCAGGCACGGGAGGGTCTGGTGGGCTTGGAGCACCGCGAGGAAGCCGGGGCTCTGAAGGGGGACTTGAACCCAGGCCCCATGAGGCCAGGGCCGTCCCCCACCCTGTGAGCTCTGGTAAAGCTGCCGGGAGCCACTCTCCTTCCTGCAGGAGGGAGCAGGGGCAGCTGGCAGCCATGCCGTTGTCTGGGGCAGGGGAGGGCTGCCGGCTAGGGGAGACCCCCGCCAAGGGCGTGCCTCCGCCCAGTCTGGGGCCCTACCCCTACAGGATGCCCAGCTGCTCAGGACGGCCCTCTGTTCTACTCACAGCAGCTGTCACTGGCCTGGACGCTCTGCCTGGACTCTGCCCTGCCCTGCCCGGGTCCAGCCTGGCCACACCCCACGGCATGTTTGTTCTCGGCTCCCTCCAGGCAGGTCTCCTAGGGCACCCAGAGCCGGGCTCAGCCCTTCCTCCAGCCTCTGGAAACGCCCAGTTAGCAGATGGTCCACACAACCAGGGCCTCCACTGCTTTGCTAAGACTCCTCCAGGCCGAGTCCCTTGAGCGGGGTGGGGGGCGCTGAGGCCGGGGGCTCGGTCCTCCGAGACCCACAAAGCAGAATGATGGCTCGGATAACCTTGCAGGAAAGAAACCTATTTTGCAGGATGTAACCCAGTGTTCCTCAGACTTACTTGACTGTGGAACCCCTTACTCGATGCCCTGCAGGGTAGTGTGCCGTGGGGCACTGGTTTGGGAAAGGGCGTCCGTAGGGTAACGGTGGACAGAGTCCGTCCTCTGGAGGCTCACGGCCCGGGGTCCCCCAGCCCAGGAGCAGGCCCAGCCTCCACCGGACAGAAGCGGAAATCAGAATCACGTCCCCAAGCCAGCAGGCCTGGCTGACTCCAGAGCCAGGCCGTTCCCTCCCTGCTCACTTCCTCCATGACTCCCAGCGAACAGCCTCCGCCCAGCAGCCCCTCCAGGGGTCAGCCACGGCCAGACAGCACACTCAGGAGCCTGGGACCACTTTCCTGCCCAGGTGTCATCGCGACTGTGGCGGCTCCGTCTCCAAGGCTGTCTGCTCTGGCCGTGCTGGCACGTGGCGTTGCTGCGCTCACCCGGGAACCCGCCTGGCATGGACTCCGGGCTCCAGGCTCAGCCTTGGGGTGTCAGGACTGACTTCCCTCAGCCCACGGCTGGTGTTCCCAAGGACTCTGTGTATGCCCCACCGTCTGCCTTTATTCGGAAGCTGCCAGCGGCATTCACTTGCGTCAAACGCTGAATCCTGGAAGCTGAGAGCTCTGTGATCCCAGATTCGAGGGGGACCCAAAAAACTGAAATTGTCTTTTGGAGAGTAGACCCTGTGTAGTACAGCCCTCCCTCACTAGGTGAGTGTGCTAGGATTCCATCGGCATCAGGGTACCAGCTAGTGTTGTTGTGAGAGGCTGCGTTCAGCCTCAGTGAATTTTGGGGGGAGATTCTTTCAGGGTGGGTAATGTATAGGCACACCTGTCCACAAGGTGCTGCGTGTTCAGCAGTTTCTGACCCCAAAACGGCATGATCCCCGCCCTTTCCTCACCCTCCCTAGTCACCTGATCTCACCCCAACTGACTTTTTTTGTGTCCCTGGATGAAAAAAACTCCTCAAAGGGGCATGTTTTGCTGATGTGGAAGAGGTAACACAAAAAACGGCAGAAGCATTAAAAGGCATCAAAATTGACGCGTTCAAAAACTTTTGAGCAGTGGAAAAAGCATCTTGAGAAGTATATTGCATTAAACAGAGTACTTTGAAGGTGACTGAAATTTAAACATACACTATTTTTTATAAATACACAATTTTTTGTAAATAAATCCCAGGTGTTTTTGGATCCCCCTCGTATAGGCAGAGACCTTCAGAGAAAATTGGTTTTCTGGGCCAGGCATGGGGGCTCAAGCCTATAATCCCAGCACTTTGGGAGGCCGAGGTGAGGGGATTGCTTGAGCCCATGGATCCGAGGACAGCCTGGGCAACTTGACAAGGCCTCATCTCTACAATAAATAAAAAAATAGCTGGGCAATGGTAGCATGCTCCTGTAGTTCCGGTTACTTGGAAGGTGAGGCGGAAGGATCACCTTAGTCCAGCAGGTCAAGGCTGGGGTGGCTGTGAGTGTGCCATTGCACTCCAACCTGGGCAATGGAGTGAGACTCCAACGCAAAAAAAAAAAAAATTGGTTTTCTGCCACCTGTGGGGCTTCTCACATGTCAGAAAGAAGCCTCGGTGTCCATCAGGAGCTCACCGGGGCAGTCCTGGGATTGGCAGAGAGCAGCGTCCAGCCCTGGAGGTAGGAGGCCTGTAATCACCGCAAGGCCTGCCCTGAGGACACGTTTAGAGTGTCAGGGCACTGAGATGCTCCCCCTTGGGTCAAGGCCAAGGGAACATCCTGGCCTCCCTTCTGCGGACACTTCTAGAAAAGCAGAGCATCTATGGTTCTGTGTGCTTTACACCAGCCCGGTAGGCGTCCCTGAAACTAGGCCCGGGAATCCAGCCCGGGGGTGATCAAACCAGGATGCTTGCTCTGTGGACAGCATGCCCAGCCAGGGCGAGGCCTGCGGGCACCAGGCCAAGGAGATCTGGGCGTCCTTGAGGGCTGAGGAGGCTCCACAGAGGGTCTCCAGCAGGAGAGCAGTGCAGTCAGATTCGCATTCTAGAAGGTTCTCCAGGGCAGTGCTAGAAGGGAAGGGCCTTGGGTCGAGGCCAGGTACCAAGTCCTGCGGCACCCTCCCCCAGGTCTATCAAGAAGAAAGAGGCTCATTTAGTTCTAATTACTTATTTCCTCATCTCTTTTTTCTTTGAATGGGAATCTCACTCTGTCGCCCAGGCTCATGGCCACCCCGGCGTCAACCTGCGGGGCTCCAGTGATCCTTCCGCCTCAGCCTTCCAAGTAGCTAGAACTACAGATGCCTGGCTAATTTTTTATTTATTGTAGAGAGGAGGTCTCACCAAGTTGCCCAGGTGGGTCTCGCACCTGCGGGCTCAGGCAATCCACTCGCCTCGGCCTCCCAAAGTGCTGGGATGACAGGCTGAGCCACCGAGTCCGGCTCTTCATCTCTCTTTGATCTTGGCTTGCAGTGTAGTCGTTTTAAACCTGCAGATGTACGTAGTGGGGGTTCACTGGGTCTAGGCTCCGTTCTGCAGCACCCACAGGGCGGCCACACTGGGAGAGGCAGCGGAAGCGAGGGCAGGCGATGTCCAGGGGCCGTGAGCTGGGAGGAGTTGACGGAGGCAGGTAAGGCCAGTCCCGAGCGGAGAGTGGCCAGAATGCCAGATGGGGCCTCGGCAGGGGCTGGAGAGCAGGACAGAAACCGCAGCCCAACCTGCAGCCCGTGCCTGATCTTGGCCGAGGTCTTCCCCTCGTTGGACCTCAGTGTCCTCCTCTGTAAGATGGGAGCGATGACGCCTCCCTGACAAGGTGCTCTGTGGTTGAGGGCGAGTGAGGGGGCCATAAGAAGCCCGGAAGAGACCCAGGGCAGGGCCGGGCCCCATGAGAATGTGGCAGTGGAGAGGACGAGGCCAGGGAGGAGTCCAGAGATGCCCAGTAGGCAGTGACCCTGAGGGGGCCCAGAGGGCCCGAGGATGGGGTGCGGATGAGGGTCAGGGCCCAGTTTAGCGGACTGCAGAGGGCACATGGATCCTGGGATCAGGGCAGCTCCCGGGGCGACTCGTGGACGGCCCCCGTGATTGAGGCCCTGACAGGGCCAACCCCCAAGGCTTTGGAGCAGCTCCCCTCTCCTGGGACCCCTGCTGCCCCAGGTCTTGGCCGTGATGCCCACCCTCAGCCATTCATGAGGCTTGTGGCCAGAAGCACTCAGACCCCAATTTTTAGGATGACCCTAGCCTCCGCCAGCTAGGCCCCGGCTGTAACCCTCCGCCGAGTGGCGGCACTCACATCACCTGGGAAAATGCAGAGTGGCTGTCTGCTCTTGGGGAGGTCTGAGGTTGAGCCAGGAGCCAGCAGTTGGCCTCCTGACCTAACAGGCGGGGCGCCGGCTTGCGGGCTGGGTCCAGAGCCAGGGTGAAGAGCCCAGCTCAGTGGGGGCCGGGGTGGGACTTCTGGTGCAGGAGCCATCCCCGAGCACGAGACTGCTCTCACAGGGCGGAGAAGGCAAAAAGGGACATTCCGAGCAGGGGCAACGGCCCCAGCCAAGGCAGGAAGACGGGAGAGGAGTCAGAGAGCCCAGGGGGCCCAGGGAGCCGCCGGGATGCTGAGGACGGAACGGCGGAAGCTGGCCCCAGCCACAGCCCCAGTGCTGGGCCAGGGAGTCGCTCTCAGCCAGTGGAGTCCCAGAATGGCAGGGACAAGCCCCAGGGAAGGCTGTAGGGGAGCCCACAGGTGGGGCTGTGAGAGGCGTGGAGGTGGAGCCCCTGCAGTCCTGCCTCCCACCTTCGCCCGCTGTTCACACACTCGCTGTTCACACACTCGACAGTCCCCAAACGTGGCCGTCTCCAGGTCGCTCTTCCTCGTCCTCCCCAGCCCCCACGATGTCTCCTGGCCAGCAGGACCCTCGCCTGCCCACCCTCCCCTCTCTACTGTTCAGGATGCGGGTCTGCACACACCTCGCCTCTCTGGCTGTTTCCCTGGTCTGACTCAACACACATCTCCTGGGCAGTGCCCCCTGCCGGCCCCATCCAAGTGCCGGGGACACAGGGATCAGATCCCTTTGCCTGACTCCAGTGGGGAAGACTGTGCAGACCCCACATTAATAACAGGGCAGGTCATGTGTAACAGTTAGAACATATGCGCTGGGAACCGGGACTGATGGCCCGACTCTGGGAGGTAGAGCTGCGGGGGGCTTCATGGAAGAGGAGGTAACTGAACTGAAGACATCCAAAGGAGGGAGGGGTGTGCCCAGCAGGCAAGTGATGTGTGCAAAGGCTCGGAAGCCTGGAGCGGCCCCGCAGTGTTGTCGGGGCCAAGGGGGGCGTGTGTGTGGGAATGAGGGGCCGATGGGGGGAGGACAGGGCTGGCAGAGACCACCCGTTGGGTTTCTCTCCACCCCCACACAGAGGGGGAGCTCGGCGAGGCCTTGCTGAGGGGTGTCAGGGGGACAAGTGGAGGGACACCGGCGGGGCTGCTTCGCGGGGGTCTCTGACCCTCTGCAGGCTCTCAGGACCTGCTCTGGTGAGACTTGGCATCTCAGCCTTGTATTTGTCTGCAAAGGCCACCGTGATGCAGGAAGCTCAAAGAGCCATCCAGACTCCGCCAGCAACAAGTGACAGATGCTGGGTCCAAGCTGGCTTAAGGGAAGAATAACAGGGTCAGTCACAACTGGAGCACATGGGCAGTTCCGCTTCTGGCCCTCTGCCTGTCTCTCTGTCTCTCCTCTGCTTCCTTCTCTGTTGGCTTTTCTCGAGCCACATGGTGGCCCCTGAAGCTCCAGGTTCAGCCCCTCCAGGAGAAAAGAGCCCCGTCTCCCCTCAAAGTCCCAGGCCAGATGCTCTGGCTCCACTCAGGCCTCAGGCTCACCTGTGGCCCCTCACTCGGACCGAGGGAATGAGGTCACAAGCCCACCCCAGCAGCCCGCCCACATCCCAGGGGTTAGTGGAGGTGGTCTTTCGAGAAGACCTGGGGGTTCTGGTAGCAGATGACACCCAGACGTCCTCCTGCCCCAGCTCCAGGCCACGGGGGTGGATCCATGTGGATGTGTTCTTGCCACTGAGTAATGCCCCTGGGTCAGAAGACCCAGGGGAGGTGCTGTGCCGCCTGTGACCTTCTCTCTCTCTCCTTCTTTCTCTTTCTCTCGTTCTCCAGGGTCCACTGGGTCTGGATGGCAAGCCGGTAAGTGATGACATGCCGATTCTCGGGGGTCCTGGGGTGGGGCTGCTGCCATGGGACTGGGAGGACAGGGGGGCATCAGAGGGAAATGGCCACTGGGAACTCAGCTCAGCACAGAGAGGAGCCTTCTGGGCGTCGGACTTGAGTTCCAATCCAGCTCCACCTGCTGACTCGCAGCCATGGGCGGCCTCTTCTCCGCCCAGACTGAGGCTTCTTGTCTGTCAGAGGGATGCAGGAGCCCCTCCCTCACAAGGATGTCCAGGGTTGTAGAGAACTGTGACCAGCACAGTCCCTTGTGTCTCGTCAGCCCTCAGCACACTCGACCCCTCCCAGCAGGCCCCTGGCACAGTGTCTCCCAGTACATGCTTCAGACTGTTGTGGTGGGCATTGGACTGAGGAGCCCTTGACATCCGGGCCAGGAGCCTGCAGTGCATGGCATCCTCAGCCAGTGAGCAAGAGACACAGGGAGACTTGAGCACTCTAAATAAGTAATCTGAGGTGGGTGGACGGACAGATGGACAGACAGAAGGACGGTGGGTGGATGGATGGCGGATGGAAGGAAGGAAGGAAGGAAAGGTGGACAGAAGGATGGAGGAATGGACGCTGTGTGGGGGATGCGTAGGTGGACGATGGGGGGAGGGATGGGGGGATGGAAGGATGGACAGATGACTCATGCTTCCAAGGGTAGACAGATGGAGCCCAGGCTTCGAGGAGCTGCTGCCCTTACAGAAGAGAGCACTTCTAGAGACAGCATCTCTGTCCACTGCTGTCTTGAGATTGCAGATAGACGGCCCGGGAGCAGCGGTCTCCTCACTGGCCCCAGCACAGGCAGGTGCTGAGCAGTGAGGGACTGTGCTCTCTCCAAGGAGTGGCCAGTGTGCGTGCCCCTTTCCCTGCCATAAGGGTGCCCCTGGGCCCTTGCTGGTGTCCTCCACTGTCCTCGGGCTGAGGACCAGGGAGCAGAGCTTCCTTGGGGCCAGCCAGGGTAGCCCTCTCTAAGGGCCGACGGCTTGGGTGTGATGTTCCACGCAGCTGTGCCTGGCTCTGCTCCACGTCTGCCCTCTACCCTCAGAGCCATAGAGAAGCCGGGGCTTTGGGGGTGCCCACTGGGGTCCCCTCACTCAGGCCTGTTCTTTCTCCCCATTTTCCTCCTCCAGGGACTTCCAGGCCCCAAAGGGGAAAAGGTAAGTGATGCTGAGGCTGTCCAGATGTGGGGCTGAGAAGGGTGCCAGAAGCTACCTCTAGGCCCCCTGCGCAGTGTGACCCTGGGGTGTCCAGCCCCTCCTGGAACCTCAGGGGGGGTTTTGAGGCTTTTTTTTGACAGAGTCTCCCTCTGTCACCCAGGCTAGAGTACAGTGGTGCAATCGTGGCACGCTGCAGCCTCCAACTCCTGTCCTCAAGCAAACCTCTTAGCTCAGCCTCCCAAGTAGCTAGAACTGCAGGCGCCACCATGCCTGGCTAATTTTTTTTTATTTTTTGCATAGACAGGGTCACACCATACTGCCCAGGCTCATCTCAAACTCCTGGCCTCAAGCGATCCTCCCACCCCAGCCTCCCAAAGTACTGGGATTACAGACGTGAGCCACCACGCCCAGCTCCGTTTTCCTGTCTATAAAGCGGGCCCAGCCATGCCTGCCTCCTAACATGGTTTCAAGGCCTACACCTGGCAATGTAACATGCTGGGAGAGTAGCCCGAGTTCTCCCTGTGCCAGAGTATAAGTCACAACCCTCCAAGGCACAGTATTCCCAGAATGACGAGTTTCCAGAGCACTTCATCATGAAGACAGGATGACGGGAGGGCCTGGAGAGCCCAACGATGACTCTTTTGGGACCCCCTAAGGGGAGAACGCCCCTCAGGAAAATGGGTGGCAGAGGGTTGGCCCTGCAGCCCCTTGCAAGACAGGAATCCCTGGCAGTGGGTACTAAAAGCCCAGCAGCCCCCTGGAAGGTGGGAAGGCTGAGTGCTCGGAAGGGGACCGAAGAGGCCTGTGTGTCCCACTGTGGGACCAGGGGAGGGAGGGACCAGAGCCAACCTAGGTGTGTGGCAGGGCCCACTGGGTGCCTCCCAGGCTGGGACACATCCACTGGACCTGGAATTCGGAAATGGGAGAGTGACAGTTGCAGGTAGGGGACCCGCTGTGATGCGGCCACTGGGGTTAGCACGGGGAAGGGCCTCATATCCCATGGGGTCGAGGAAGCCATGGGAAGACGCAGACTGTGGTGTTCAGAGCCTCTGCTCTGCATTCTGGCTCAACTGCCCAGCTCTGTGGGCCTCAGTCTCCCCATCTGTAAATTAAAACCAGTCTCACAGAGCCATGGGGAGGGCTGCATGAGGCCATGGTCTGAATGTTCTTCGTCGGTGAAGAGAGACTGGCTCGGTGGGTGTCAGGGTCACCTTCTCGCTGGCTCCAGCTGAGGCCATCGTGCCGTGGAAGTGATTCTGTCAAGGGCTTTGAAACCAGAGACTGGTATCTTGCTACCCCTGCTGCATAATACACTGCCCCAAAGCTCCGTAGTGTGACACAGCAGCCAATCGTCCTTGTCCTTCCGAGAGGACACAGCAGGACAGCTGTCTCTGCTCCACGATGTCTGGGACCGTGGCTGCCCGGGGCCTGGCCCTGAGTAGGGGAATGCCTTGCTTCAAGCCCTGTGTCTGCTGGCCGTTTGACTGTGGGCGGGCTCCTTGGCTTCTCTGCCTCTCGGACCCCTCACTGGAAATGGAGACAAAAATAGAGCCAGCCCGTTATTTTGTTCGAATTAAGTCAGCCCACGAACATGAAGCCCCACGCTCACAGGAAGTGGGAAGGAATGCCGACACGGTGCTGAAATCTCTCCCTGGTTTTGTTCCCAGGGTGCACCAGGAGACTTCGGCCCCCGGGTAAGAACTGAGCACGACCCCGCTGCCCACGTGGTTTGTTTTTTATAATAATGAGGCACATCTAGCCTTTCTTCCGGGTTCTAACCCCCTACAGCTCTTCCCAGAAAGGGGCCCGGAGGCAGTCCCTCCTTCCCACCGAAGCCCCCTGCACTTTGGGCGAGGGGCTGCTGCCCCTGCACTGATGGGGAGTCTCTGCAGACGTCTGGGGCCCCGTGCTTATCTCCGTGAATGCTGGACAGTGGGGCTGGCACCTGTCCCAGGCCAGAGACTGACGGACCCGAGGGTAGCCGGCACCCCAGGGAGAGGGGAGGCTCTGGGGTCTGTAGACCTGAGCCCAGAACTCAACACCCCCCTTGCCAGCAGAGTGATCTTGACCAGGTCACTTTCCCCTCAAGACTCGGTTTCTCCAGCTGTGAGTGGGGTAGCAGCCCCACCCCAAGCAGCTGTTGTGAAGACTCACTGCAGTCATGAAAACAAGCAACCAGTGCCCGCGTGGGGACAGTAGATGGGTGCCTGCTCCCAGCCCACCCTGCCCCTCAGTGTCCCTGGGCCAGGGACCCAGAAGTGCTTTGCACTTGAACCTGGGATCTCCTCAGCCGAGGCTGAAGCAGGATAGGGACCCCTCGTGGGGGTGGGCCATCGAGTCTTGGCCAAGGGTCACTCACGTAACCCTGGACGGGTGTCATTTCTGGCACAGCCCAGGCAGGAGGCAGAGGGAGCCCTGACCACAGAGGCTGAGGGGGACGTCAGCTGCCCAGGGACGGGCAGGAAGGCAGCGAGCCCCCGGGCATTTGGAAGCAGGTTGTGGGTGGAAGTTGTCGCCGGTGGGCTCGTCACCCGGGCGAGCACTGCAGAACCGGTGGCGGGAAGAATGGGGAGGAGGGAGCTGCTTGGGTGGGAGGGCATGGCACATGGGGGTGAACGGGAGTCGGGTGACAGTGCAGGGTGGGGGGAGCTGGAGCTTGTGCTCGGGCTGGGCTGGGTCCCCGCTCTGCACCTGCGTAGTCCCAAGCGGGCGGAGGCCGAGCCCCACAGACAACACAGGGAGGACAGGGCAGGCCACGCAGGGGGGGCCACACAGAGCCAGTGGTTGCGCCAGTCCCGGGAAGGTTCCTGGTGCACCTGCGGCTGCTGGAAAGCACCCCCTGCTTGCTTCCTGGTGGGCGTGTGGAACATTCTTCCCGACAAGTATGCCCCTTCCCAGCAGACTAGAGGGCCCCAGCGGGGAGCCACAGGGAGTGGGTCTCCTCCCAAGCGCCCCCCTTCACGCGGACACCGTTCTCGTCCCAGAGTTCCAGTCACCCATGAAGCAACCTCCCCCCACACACGAACAGCTTGGAGGTTCAGAACTCCCATTTGTCATGATCTCTCATGGCTCCCAGTTCGGGTTGGGGTCTCCCAGGTAGGGGCAGGCAGAGGCAGCCGGGCCTGGAGCCCAGGGGGGGGGGCCTCACGGGGCCATGAGCAGTGTGGCTGTGGGCAGGCGCTCAGCTGGGGTGCCCCCGCCCGTGGCTCCCCGCCATGGTGGCTGGGGTCCCGGAGGGGCTTCCCAAGGGCAGCATTCCGAGCAGCGGGGAGCAGGAGCTACCTGGCCTGTTAGGAGCGCGACCCCTGCGTTCTCTGGGTCTGATTGGTCACGGGGCCCACCCAGACTCAGGTGCTGGAGAAACCGGTCCAGCGTTGAGGGAAGCGGGGCGGGGGGAGGAGGGGTAGGGTCGGCGTGTGGGAAAGCCCGTGGGACAGGAGCTGGCGAAGCAGCATCCTTGGAGGTGGCGGTCTGCACACACAGTACCAAACGGCCTTTCTCCGGGCTGGGTCAAGTGGCTCTACCGCCAGACTGGGGTTTTGCCGTCACGCCGCCGCCTTCCTGACGCACCACCCGTCTGCCAACTAGATAGATGGTCTTCCCTCGGCTCAACCCGGGCTTTATAAGTACAGACTATCACATGTTCAGCCGCCGCATCCTCAAGGTAGACTGGCCAAGCAAGGGGCCTGGGCCTGCTGGTTTGCCGTGCTCTCCCGACTCACCCCCCACACTCGCAGGGTCAGACCTCAGCCATCCAGCCCCTGAGGGAGAGGAGGTGGGCTGGCCGGGAAAGAGCCAGAAACCTTTGCTCGTGCCTGCTGAAGGGTCAACACCATTTTCTGCCTTAGTAAGCAGAGTCCAGGCCCACAGTTCCCAGCCGAGGTCCCTGGGCTGTGAAGGGAGGCAGGAAGTGTCCTCAAGTCCTTCCTGATTCGGGAAAAAAATCAGCTGAAAGAGGAAGCACCCCCTGCATTCACCACCCGTGACCCAAGCAAACTGTCCATCTCCTTTCCTTTTGGCTGGAGTCAGAACCTCTCGATCAGGAACCCTGGCCATGCTGGACCGAGCCGATCTGAGTGGTGGACGCCGAGAGCATCCATGGATTTTTTTGAATGGGAAGACAAGTGAATTGCATGTCAAGTGCAGTTTGCCAGAGAGGCACCTCTTTCAGATCATGGAGGTCCGTGAGGAAGAAGTGTCTAAAAGGGCCCACTTGCTAGCCAGGTGTGGTGGCTCACGCCTGTCATCCCAGCACTTGGGAGGCGGAGGCTAGAGGACTGCCTGAGCCCAGGGATTCGAGATCAACCTGGGCAACCTAGTGAGAACTCATCTCTAAAATAAATAAGTAAATAAATAAATAAGCCGGTCATGGTGGCTCGTGCCTATGGGTCCAGCTACTCGGAAGGCTGAGGCAGAAGGATCACCTGAGCCCAGCAGGTCGAGGCTGCGGTGGCTGTGAGTCTGCAGTGGCTGTCAGCATGCCACTGCACTCCAGCCTGGGCGACAGAGTGAGACTCCAGCTCAAAAAAAAATAAAAATAAAAACTTTTTAAATAAATAAATAAAAGGACCCACTTGTCCTGATGGTCAGAAGAGGCTCTGTCGACCTTCCCTAGCTTTGGAGCCCTGGGTACATGGTCACGCTCTGTGACCTTGGCCATCCATCTGTGAAATGGGACAATGACAGTGCCCTGGCCAGCTCGTCACAGGGTGGAATAAGATCATCTTCAGGACCTCCTGCTCGCTTAGTGCTGGGGCCACAGAAGGCTTCTTCCTGTCTCAGTCACAGAAGGTTGTCTCTGCTGGCACCACAGCCCTGGTGTGCCCTGTCCCTGTGCCCTGTGCCAGCGTGAGGTGAGGGCCTGGCTGCCTGAGGTCTGACCCAGTACTAACATCGATCCGAAATTGGGGATTTCTTGCTGCATGGGGGGCTGTGCGTGCCTTCATCACCTTTAAAGTTTTAACCTTTATTTTGAGATAACCATCGAGTCACACGAGTTGTAATGTGTCACCCACGTGCCCTGCAGCCAGTGGTGGCATTTGCCTCGCTGTGGTACAGTCTCTTGACCAGGAAACTGACATCAGTACAGTCTACCAACCTTCTCCAGATGACCCCAGTTCCACACACACCCCTTGGCGCCTGTTTGCTTCCACATAACGTGATCACACGTGTGGATTTGTGTAACCGCCACACAGCTGTCTGAAGTCACATCTGACCCCCTCCTCTCAAAGCCTGGCGACCGTTAATCTGCTCTCCATCTCTGTGGCCCCATTTCCAGCATGCCGTGCGGATGCAGTCCCACAGCACTCACCTTTTGAGGCCGGTTTTTTGCAGTCCGCACAGCTCCCGGGAGACGCAGCCAAGTTGTTCCTTTGTGTCCGTGGCTGAGAAGCGTTCCGTGATGTGGTGCACCTCAGCTCACAAAGATCCTCCCACCGGGGGACACTGGCACTGTTTCCAGTGGGGGCTGCTAACTAACCAAGCAACAGTGAACAAGGATGCGTGCCCAAGGCTGCACCTCTAGGACCCGCCGTGAAGCGGGAGTTGGCCAACAGGAAGACCTCTTAGGGACACTCAGTCCCTTCCTAGAAAGAAGGCGGATGGTGGGAGCTGCGTGTCCTCTCCACGTGCTCATCTCCCGGAGATGGCCTGGCCGGCTCTCGCCTAAACGCATTTCCAGGCTCAGGTGCCGGAGAGTTGGCAAAGCTCTTGGCGTGTCAAGGGTCCTGTGGGGACTCTTAACCCACCGTCTAGGGACCCACCCCTTCATGAGGCTGCCAAGAAGTGGCAAGAGACCCAGTGACAAAGCCCTCACCTTTGAGCCTTCCTCCACCCCTGACGCAGGGGCTGGGAAGGGAGAGTCAGGACGGCCCATCTGGGGGAACCTCTCTCTGGGGGCTGCAGTCCCTTCCCCTCACCCTGAGAATCATGCCAGGCTCATCTCTTGCAGGGAGACCAAGGGCAAGATGGAGCCACTGGGCCTCCAGGGCCACCTGGACTCCCTGGGGCCCGTGGTCCTCCTGGCGACACCGGGAGAGATGGCCCCAGGGGACCACAGGGCCCGGCGGTAAGAGAGGGTGTGGGGTGGGACCACGGAGGCCCTGGTCCTGGGCTGGCCAAAAGCCTGGACCCTGACCCCGGTGCAGACACCACGCCGGGCTGAGCCCCAGCCCAGACCTGAGCCTGGGTCCGGTCTGAGCTGTAATCCAGATCCAACTCCTGTCCCTGACCCAGACCTAATCTCAGCCCTGAACCCAACCAGACCTCACCCCAGTCGAACTTTAACACTACTCAGGTCCCTGACCCCAATCCAGGCCTCACCCCAGTCTAACCTTAAACTAACACTAGCCAGGTCCCTGACCCCAACCCAGACCTTGACCCCAAACTCATTTCCACATCCTGATCCACAGCCCCAATTCAGACCCTAACCCCGACCCCTGCAGGCTTTGACCCTGACTCCAAACCCGACCCTAACCCCACATAGACCCAGAGACCCTAGGCCTGACCTCAGCTGCAGTCTCAGGCCTCGTCCTGCCCCGAGACCCTCACGCGGGTGCCCTCTCTGCAGACCCTCCAGCTCCGTTCCTCTCCCCGCCTCCCCCGGTGGCCCCATTCCTGACTCACTGGCCTCAGTTTTTGCCCCAGGGTCCTAACCCAACACCGGAAGCCGGACGTCTTCCTAGCACCCGGTCCCTGACGAGGGACTCCAGTCTGCCCTCTCACCAGTGCGGGGCCCATGCCTTACCAGGCTGCCCCAGGGTCCCTGTTGGGGCAGCCACGAGGTCGGCTCGCCCGCCCTGGTCACGAGAGCAAGCCACCCCACTCTCCAGGGTTGGGTGAGGAGGAGATGAGATCATGTACTTGGAGCCCCAGGCCAGGTCTGGCATGAGATTGGAGCTCGGATGTGACCTCCTCACCCTCACTGACGTCCTTGCATGCCTCCTCAGGGTCCCAGAGGAGAGCCCGGACACGACGGCGAGACGGTCAGTATCCGGGCGTTTCGGAGGCCTGCCCAGCAGGACGGTGTTGGTCAGACCTGGAAGGCCCCTCCCCACACACGCTGACACCAGGACTGTGCTTGCGTGTGTGTGTGTGTGTGTGCACGCGCGCACATGCGTGTCCATGCATGTGTGCGGCCGTGTGTGTGTGCACATCTGTTCTCTGTGGGGCAGTGCCGGGCGAGGCCCCCAGCGGGCAGCTTCCAGGAGCCCCTCGGCCCTGCGTGGAGCCTGCCACCCTTTGTTGCCACCTGAGCCCCACGCAGAGCCCCGCCCCACCTCGCTGGAACTTGGTGTTGGCCTTTATAAATGAGGATGACACAGAGGACAGCCCAGGAGCAGCCTTCCGCTGATCTCTGACACCTTCTCTTCTCTTGTTCCAGGGCCCGAAGGGACCCCCAGGGCCCAGGGTGAGTTCCCCTTGTCCCCATGCCCCACCCGATGCCGGGAATGGGCTCCCTCACCGCTACCCCTCCCCCACCCTGAAGCCAAGACAGGAGGGCCGGGAGGGCGCTGCGTCTCTCTGGGCCTCGTTTCCTCATCTGTTAAATGGCGCTATCTGTCAGATCTCATCTGTTAAATTTCCTCACATCTGTTAGATCTTTCCTGTTTCCTTCACACTGAGTTGGGGGGGTTGACTCCTGAAGCACTTTTGCATTTTGACTCACAGGCTATCCTCAGAGCAGTTTTAGGTTCTACAGAATTGAACGGGAAGTACAGAGTTCCCGTTTTCTCCCTACCCCCCATGTGCACGGCCTCCCTCCACTGTCAACACCCCCCACCAGAGGGTACATCTGTGACAGTTCATGAACCCGCGATGACATGTTATCATCCACACTCTGTAGCTTACCTCAGGGGTCACTGCTGGCGTGGTGCCTTCTGTGAGCTTGGACAGATGCACAATGACATGCGTCCATCACTGAGTGTCGCACGGATCGTCACTGCCCTGCACGCCCGCTGTGCTCTTCCTCTTCATCCCTCCCTCCCCGGTCCCTGGCAACCACCCGTCCTGGTGCTGTCCCCACAGTCCTGCCTTTCCAGCGTGTCACGTGGTTGGAGTCACGCAGGACGCAGCCTTTTGGGGCCAGCTGCGTTCCCCGGGCAGCACGCGCTGTTTCCCCCAGGTCCTCTCGTGGCCCCTCGGCGCACTTCTTCTTAGAGCTGGGTCACATTCCCCTGTCTGGATGTCCCACGGTCTGTTGGCCCACTCCCCCGGAAGGACATCTCGGTTGCTTGCACGTTCCAGCAGTTTTGAAGAAAGCTGCTGGAAGCATCTGTGTGCAGGATTCTGGGTGGACATGTCTCCGCCCTGGGGGCTCCAGGCGCCCCCATGTGACAGCTCTCTCCACCCCTCCCGGGCACCGTGTGGGCAGGGAGGAAGGCGTCTCCCCAGGGAGCCAGACCCGGGCCGAGGAGCGGAGGATGGGGAAGAGCTGGGCGCCAAGCACCTGCTCAGCCGGGCTTCCTCACGGCTGCCCTCTGGCCTGGGAATCTCTGCCCGGGGTGGTTGTGCTGGTGGTGAGCTCAGGGGGAGAACCCGAGACCATTGCCCACCCGCCTCCCGAGCCGCTCCCTGGGGGCTCGGGAGTCTCTGGGCTGGCCCTGAGCGACCTCCGCCCGAGGAACCAGAGGCCAGCCCCAGGCTCTGACCCCTCTCTTGCACCCGTTCCTCCCCCAGGGTGAGCCCGGCGAGCCTGGAAAGAAGGTGAGGGCGCTGGGAGGGGATGGAGGGGGGCTTCCGGGCTCTCGCGGTCCAGCAGTGCCAGGGCTGGGGACAGGACGGGAATGGGAGCCACCCCATGGGACACCGGCGTGCTCTTCACAGCCCGGAGTCCTCCTCAGGTCTCAGTGGAGCCAGAATTCATGGTATTCATTCGTTCATTTGTTCACTCGCTCACTGATTCTTTCCCCTCTTCAGACACAACCCACCTGTGCCCACTTCAGGGCCTGGGACAGGATTCTCAGAGTGTGGTCCTGGGGCCAGCAGTACTAGTCTCCCTGGGGGTTTATTAGAAAGGCACATTCTGGCAGGGCACGGTGGCTCATGCCTGTAATCCCGCGCCTTTGGGAGGCTGAGGTGAGAGGATTGCCTGAGCCCAGGAGTTCGAGACCAGCCTGGGCAACTTGGCGAGATCTCATCTCTACAATAAATTTTTTTTAAAAAATTAGCCAGGCATGGTAGTGAGTGCCTGTCGTTCTGTCTATTTGGAAGCCTGAGGCAGAAGGATCGCCAGAGCCCAGAAGGTCGACACTGGGGTGGCTGTGAGCATGCCACTGCAATCCAGCCTGGGCAACAGAGTGAGGCTCCGACTCAAAAAAAAGAAAGAAATGCACATTCCAGGGCCCACCCCAGACCCACCGAATCAGACTCGGTTGGGGCCGTGGGCAATGCCAACATGAACTGGAGCTTGGGAACCACGGAACCAGGGCGGCCTCCCCAACTCCCCCCCAGCCTCCTTCTCGCCGTCGGTCTCGGCACAGCTGTCTCCTCCTGAGGACCCTCCCCAAGTCCCCCCATCCAGCGTCCTCTCCTCTTCCCAACGCTATCCCACTTCCTGACATGAACTGAGCACACATTGGAACATTTCCCGTCCCTCGGCCTCCTCTGACTCCCCTGAGCAGGGGCCTCATCTGCCTGGCCTGCAGGGAGAATGAATGAAGGAGTTCACTCATTCACCTGTCCTGCCATCCTCTCCACAAGCACCTACCGAGGCCCACTTGGACTGGCCCTGGGCAAGTGGGGACAGGGGACAGAGATAGATGCCAGATGCCTCACTCTGCCAGATCCATCTCCAGATCCGGGGCAGGGAGGAGCTGCCTGACCCAGTTGCCCAGTGCCGGTGCTGCGAGTGGACCAGCGGTCCCTGGGGAGCCCAGGGGAGGGGTGCCGCTGGCAGCAGAAGCGCTGGCCATGAGCCTTAGCCATTCTTCCCTAGGGCGATGACGGGATGCCAAGCCAGCCCGGGCCCCCTGGACTTCCAGGGCCCAAGGTGGGTATCCGCCCCTCCCCCAAGGTCCCCGGCCTCCCACCTCTCCCGGCTCCCGTCACGAGGGCATAGGCAAGCCAGGGCGGGCCAGGGGGAGGTCACAGGAAGGCCCTGGGCGCGGTCAGCCACACTCAAGCATCTCATCCAGGCCATTTGCAAGTCCTCTTGGCTGCCCACTCTCTGCTCTGTCCACGGGCCAGGAGCCGGGCGTCATCCTCGAGTCTTGCTCCCCCAGCCCCTCCAAGTCCTGGCCCGCCGGCCTCCAGAACGACTCTCGAGCCCCTGAGCGGCCCCAGCATGTGCCATGATGCAAGCCAGTGGTGGCTGTGATTCTGAGTCCCCAGGCCAGGGAGAGCCCTGAGGTCCGTCCCCTGCCCCCACCTCAGGCCTGTTCTCGAGGCCCCACAGACGCGGGCAGCCCCTAGTGGGCCCCGGCGTTCACTGTCACAGCGAATGTTCCCATTTCAGGGCGAGCCAGGGAGCGTGGGTCCCCCGGGAGAGAGCGGCGTGGACGGTGCCCCAGGACTCAAGGTGACTTTAAAGATGCCACTCCCGCCCTGCAGGCCGCCACCCAGTTGAGAGCGACAGATGGGATTTCAACCCCAGTTGGCCTTTTGAATGAGGCGCCCAGGAGGGCCTGGGCCCAGGGGTTTCCTTCCACTCTCTGTCAGAGGCCGGTCTGGGGGCAGTGCTGGTGGCTCTGGGTGTGTGGTGGGGCCTGCCCTGGGGCCCAGCCTTGTGGCCAACTCACCTTGCGGCCTTGCGTCCCCGGACCTCATCGTCCCCATCTCTGTACAGTGGGGTCAGAGGAGGCTCTCGGAGGCTCCCGGGAGCCCCATTCCTGGAGGCCTCCAGGGCTCGGGCTTTCAGGGAAATGGCCTGGAGGTGGGCCAGGAGGCCCTCTGGCCTCACAGCTGCACCGCGGCCGTGCCCTTGTGTCTCCACAGGGGGAGCCCGGCCACCGGGGAGTGGACGGAGCTGCAGGCCTCCGGGTAAGCACCCGCCCCCCGAGCGGAGTCACATCAGTGAGATCCCGGGGCCCTGGGGACTTCAGAAATCCCTGTCCTGCCAGGGGCAGTGGAGCCACAGGACCTGGGAGTCCTTTTTACTTTCTTAAATAATTTATTTGTGATTTTTAAAAATTTTCATAATATACGCCTTTGGTAAACTTGTCCAATGTGGATGTGTAAAAATAAAAGTCCTGCCGGGCTCCGTGGCTCAGCCTGTAATCCCAGCGCTTTGGGAGGCTGAGGTGAGTAGATTGCCTGAGCCCGCAGGTTCAAGACCCGCCTGGGCAACTTGGCAAGACCTCAACTCTACAATAAATCAAAAATTAGCCGGACGTGGTAGCGCACGCCTATAGTTCCAGCTACTCGGAAGGCTGAGGTGGAAGGATCGCCGGAGCCCAGCAGGCCGAGGCTGCGGTGGCCGGGAGCGGCCACTGCCCTCCAGTCTGGGCGACAGAGTGAGACACCAACTCAAAATAAATAAATAAAATAAATAAATAAATAAATAAATAAAGATAAAAGTCCTGACCTCTTACTAAGCAGTGGCTCATGCCTGTAATCCCAGCACTTTGGGAGGTGGAGGCAAGAGGATTGCCTGAGTCTGAGTCCAGACGTTTGAGACCAGCCTGGGTCCCTTGGCGAGACCTCATCTCTACAATAAATCAAAACATTTGGCGAGACCTCGTCTCTACAATAAATAAACTTATAAAAACTTAGTTGGTTGTGGTGGCACACACGTCATTCCAGCTACTTGGAGGGCTGAGGTGGAAGAATTGCCTGAGCCCAGCAGGTGGAGGCTGCGGTGGCTGTGAGCGTGCCACTGCACCCAGCCTGGGCGACAGAGTGAGACTCCAACTCAAAATATTTATTTATTTATTTATTTATTTAGAGTCGGAGTCTCACTCTGTCGCCCAGACTGGAGGGCAGTGGCCGCTCCCGGCCCCCGCAGCCTCGACCTGCTGGGCTCCGGCGATCCTTCCGCCTCAGCCTTCCGAGTAGCCGAACCACAGGTGCACGCTACCACGCCCGGCTAATTTTTTGATTTATCGTAGAGAGGAGGTCTCACCAAGTTGCCCAGGCGGGTCTCGAGCCCGTGAACTCCCAAAGTGCTGGGATTACAGGCTGAGCTGCCGAGCCCGTCCTATTTTCTAAATATACACATGTGAAAAATAAGAGTCCTGATCTCTTACTAAATCAAAGACTCCCCATCCCACATGAGCGCCTGCCCACCAAGATTCTGTTATTTGCACACTCACACAAAAGACCCTGCCTAGGACAGCTGGCCTGCACCGTGTTTGGGGGTTTTCTGCTTGTTTGCCAACACATAAAAGTCTGCAGAACTTCACATCAAAATCAGACTTTGCGTTTTCCCTTGAGAACTCAAGGATCGGGCCTCGGGGAGCTTGAAGGCCCACGTGAAGGCCAGCGCAGCCCTCCCCCCGCCCAGGTGGGAACATGGGCCTTGATGGGCTGCAGGCTCCGTGTATCCTTCCTTCTCATGCTGGGATCCTACCAGCTCATACCTGAGATCTGGCCACATCGGGGAGCCCACAGGCGCCGGGGGACCCACACATGATACACAGGCCTGTATGTGGCCTGGGTGACAAGGTTCTCCCGTTGACCCCCTCCCTGGGTGTGACGCAGAGACAACTACCCCTGCCCTCCACCCCTCCCGCATAGCTCTTCCCTGATGTCCTTTCTCTTCCTGCCTCAGGGACCCCCAGGCCTCAAGGGCGAGCAAGGGGACACGGTGGTGATCGACTATGATGGCCGGATCTTGGATGCACTCAAGGTAGAGTCCCTGGCAGGACCTGGATACGCCCTAGTGGCCGGTGGGTCTTTGCAGACCGGCCCCTGAAGCCCCAGGAAGTTGAGAGACCAGAAAAGAGGCTGCCACACACTCGTTCTCAGAAGGAAGCGTTCAGTCGGGACTTAGGGACAGAAGCCGTGTCTGTGTCTCCAGCGGCAGCAAGACAAGACGGTGAACCCAGGCCTTCCGTGCCAGGGAGGGAGTGACTCAAGGCTGTGTAGGAGAGGTGAAGGCGGGAACACCGACTTGGCCTGACCTCGGGGCAAGGGTTATGGTAGGCCCCTCGGGCACAAGGAGATACACGGGAAATCTGAGACCTTTCCCAAACTGGGGCTAGTCAGAAGCCAACGTGGCGGATGATTCCAGGGGGGTTGCTCTGGGCTCTACACCCCAACTGTTCATTTTGTCTTAGGGAGCCATCACTCATGCTGTGTGTCAATCTGGCACTTTTTTGTTTTTTTGAGTCAGAGTCTCACTCTTTCGCCCAAGCTGGAGCGCAGTGACACGCTTATGGCCGCTGCAGCCTCGGCTTGCTGGGCCCAAGCGTCCTTCCGCCTCAGCCTTCCAGAACCACAGGCATGTGCGCCATCACACCTGGCAAATTTTTTGATTTCTTGTAGAAACGAGGTTTCACCAAGTTGCCCAAGCTGATCTCAAACCCCTGGGCTTGGGCAATCCTCTAGCCTCCACCTCCCAAAATGCTGGGATTACAGGTGTGCACCACCAGGTCCAACTTAATCCTGCATTTCTTTACACAAAAGACCAGAGCCACCTTACCACAAAGACCCCAACCTCATTAGGCACCTGGTAGGGAAATCTGCTGAGATGAGACCCATGTGATGCTGAGAGAGCTGCTGGGAAGGCGGCTTGTGTGGCCTGGAGTTCCCTAGAGGCCAAGGCAAAAAGGGAAACTCCCTCCTCGGGGGCAGGAGGCAGAGCATTTCCTGGTGTCTAGTCCCAGCAGTATTTCCTGGGGGCTTCCTGGGAGCACAGGCTGGAGGCCAAGTTCTTCTAAAGACTATAGTGGGGAGGGTGAGAGTGTCAAGGACTGCCCCAGGGTGTGCAGCCTCTGAGCCCTGCCGGTCACTGGCAAACTCAGGACTGAGTGGCGAGAGCAGCTGGGTAGCCTGGAAGAGAGCTGGTGGGGGAGGGGTGGTCATCCGAAACCAGACAGGCCAGGGGCTCCTGACCCCACCTGAGCTTCAATTCCAGTTATGTCCCTCAGGCCTCAGGGAAGCACAAGTTGACGGTCACTGTGGCTCCCCAGGCCCGCATGGTGTGGAGTGGTGACAGTGGCCCTGAGGGCATGCACATACATGGCTCGTCCCAGGCTGGCTGAGGCTCTGGAGAAGCTGAGTGCAGGGAGTTGGGAGGTGGAGTTTGGACCCCAGACTGGGATGATGACTCGATTTGAGGGGCACTGGGCAGCTGTAGACTGTTCTAGAGCAGGGGGTGACGCTAAAACATAAAAAATGGCCAGACACGGTGGCTCATGCCTGTAATCTCAGCACTTTGAGAGGCTGAGGCAGAAGGATGGCTGGCGCTCTGGTGTTCAAGACCAGCCTGGGCAACACAGCAAGACTGCATTTCCACCAACAAAACAAACAAACAAAATGAAAAAAAATTAGCCAGGTGTGGTGGTGCAGCCTGTAGTCCCAGCTACTCGGGAGGCTGAGGCAGGAGGATCACCTGAGCCCAGGAGGTTGAGGCTGTGGTGAGCCGTCATCATGCCACTGCACTCCAGCCTGGACAACAGAGCAAAACCCTGACTCAAAAAAGAAAAAAAAAAGTCCTTGGGGAAGCTGGCTGGGGACATGTAGAAGGGAACGAAAGTGGGCAGGGGGCTGGGCAGGCAGCCCGGGGGACCTGGACAGGGAGGTGCTGGGCCTGGGCCGAGAGGAGGCCAGGGAGGAGGGAGGACATGCGGGGAGGCCAGGGACATCGCCATGGAACACCCATAGGCAGGGAGCAGGCTGCGGGGAGGGGAGAGGGCTCCAGCAGGGCTGGGCGGGCACAGCCTGTGGGGGGATGTACGTTCCGGGTGGCGTGAGCCCCGGTGGGCAGCCTGGGTGGGGATGGGAGCTCGGGAGCAGGCTCAGACCTCAAGACCCTGAGGACCCCCGCCCTCTACCCGAGAAACCCAGGACTGGCAGACGGCAGGCACGGAGCCAGAGGGTCAGAGAGCTCACAGGACAGGCAGGGAAAGCCACTGCTGGGGCGATTTGGGGCTCACCTTGAGTGCCAGCAGGGGATCTAAGCTTGCTTCGAGAGGCAATAGGGAGCCACCGCAGAATCTTGAGCAGGGGAGTGTTGTGACAAAATCGAGATTTGAGGGAGCCTGGCTGAAAGCAGAGGGATACTAGTTCCTCCACGATAGGGGACAGTGTGGTGTCTTGCCCAGTGCCAGGGACTGCCTCCCTGTTCTTCCCCAAGACTCAGGGGCCAGACCAAGCCATGTGCAGTGTGGTCCAGCCTGACTGAGGGAGCCCTTGCCCCTGCTGCCGTCAGTTGGACAGGAATTGGTCCAGGCTGGGAGCTGGATGGGAAGGAAAGGGCCCCGCCTACCCTCTGACTGGCTTGACTTTTGCACACAGGGTCCTCCAGGGCCACAGGGGCCGCCGGGGCCACCAGGGATCCCTGGAGCCAAGGTCAGTGCAGACGCAGCCACGTGGTCCCCCGGGGCCTTGTCTCCAGGGTCCACGCCCGTCTCTGCCAGGTAGCCCCACTTCCCTCCTGGTGTCCTGGCCTGACTTCCAGGGCTCACAAAAAGTGCCCGCTCCTTCCTCCCAAGCGGAGTGCCTACCTCCTGGGCCCCTCATCTCACGCATACACCGCAGAATCGGCCCCGTGTTCGGAAGCGCCCTCCCGGAGCACATCGCCGTCCCTGTGGCTTGGGCCACTCGCACGCGCCCTGCAGTCTGTCTCGGGAGGAGGAGCCTGCGACCCAAGTCAGGCAGGCCTGGCGTGGCACCGCAGTCCTGGGCTCCAGGCCCTGGAATGCGACAATGAGCCCTCCCACCCCCCAGGCCCAAATCCATGACGTGCCAGCCTGAAGACTGTGTTTATGGGCCACACGTGCCCACGAGGGACTGAGGAAGCAGAGGAGGGGGATGGCGGGCTCTGGCCCGGGCTCGGCACCCAGTGGGTGCCTTCCTGGAGGCCCAGTGTGGGTCGGGGGACAGCCTGGCCCTCAAGGCACTAACCCCTCTCGGAAGGGAGGAGGGGATGACCCTTTTGCCATCTGTTCCCTTCCAGGGCGAACTTGGGTTGCCGGGTGCCCCCGGAATCGATGGAGAGAAGGTCTCTGGGCCTTTCGTTTTCTTGGTGATGCTGTTCCCTGGTAACAGGCTGTGTGTGTGTGTGTGTGTGTGCACATGTGTGTGCATGTGTGTACATAGTGAGAGACCACCGTGTCAGAGAGCCCACAGGATAGGGTAGCAAAAAGCACGGGCTCTGGTGCACCAGGTCACCTGCATGCAAACCCTGGCACAGTGGCAGGAGTCCACAGATGAGAGTGGACGGCGTCACTGCCACGGTCAGTGTTGTTGTGATTCTTCGAGCGTGAGTGTGTGGTCCTGCAGATGTGAGAGGCCCCGTGGGATCACTTGCTGCCTGCGGGTGTGTCTTTCATGCTGGGCCCCCCAGGTGTGGCGTGACTTGGAACTGGCTGAGTTGAAGGGGCCCGGGGCTGGGAGGGCACATGGGGTCTGGGGGCTCACCCCGGCTCTAGAGCTGTGAGCAGAGTTGACCCCACGAGTGCTCCCAGGAGGCAGCCCCGCCCCACTGCCTCGCCTCCCCCGCCACCCACACCCCGGCATGCAGTGAGCAGAGGCGGTGCCCCTGTCTGTCTCCATCCGGCCCCCCCACTGCATTCAGCAGAGGCTTCCAGCCACTGGGGCAGGAGGCAGGGACCCACAAGCTGGAAGGGGGCATCCAGCCTGGGCTGAGCTCTGGGAGCGACCAGGGTGGGGGAAGCCAGGGCCTGCTGAGCCCCACTGATCCTTGTTCTTGTGGCTTTCAGGGTCCCAAAGGCCCGAAAGGAGACCCAGGGGAGCCCGGGCCGGCTGGACTTAAAGGAGAAGCTGGCGAGATGGGCTTGTCCGGCCTCCCGGTACGTGGCTGGGCTGGGCCACACCACATGTGGCCTGCGTGGGTCTGAAGGGGACGTGTGCCTTCCCTGCCATGGGGGGCAGGGAGGCAGGCCAGGAAGCCCTCCGCACCCGGCTGAGACACTCAAGGCGCCAACACTGCCCTGCCTCTCTGGGCCTCCCCTTCCTCATTGGTCAAGGGACCTCCTGCCCCCATCCGGAGGTCTCCCAAAGATGGAGAGGGAGGCGCTGCTGGGAGGAGCAAGCTGGCCGGATGGTCACGCTGTGTGCTCTGAGCTGAGCTGCCCACGGTTGCACCCAGCTCCCTCCTGGTGGACTCCGGAGCCCCGTGCAGGCAGCCTGGCCTCCTGGACCTGTGTCCTCACTGATAAAGCGGGGATGGGCCAGGGACGGTGACTCTCGTCTATAATCTCAGTACTTTGGAGGGTCAAGGCAGGAGGGTCACTTGAGGCCAGAGTCTAGCCTGGGCAACGGAGCAAAACTTCATCTCTACAAAAAAGAAAATAAAACTTTAGCCAGGTGGGCTGGCACATGCCTGTAGCCTCAGCTCCTCAGGAGGCCAAGCAGAAGGATCGCTTGAGCCCAGAAGGTGGAGGCTGGAGTGGCCTGTGATCTGGCCACTGTTGTTCAGTCTGCCCAGCACAGACCCTGACTTTAAAAAAAGAAGAAAGCCGGGCTCGGTGGCTCAGCCTGTAACCCCGCGCCTTTGGGAGGCTGAGGTGAGTGGATTGCCTGAGCCCA